GCGCCGCGCCCCCCGGCCGAGCTCCCTGCGCCATCCCCGGGCTGCGGCAGAACGGGGACTGGGAGAGGAGCCCCGGGTTTGTTGCGGTGGAAGGGTATCGAATGCGGTGCCAAAGGCTCGAAAGCAAAACAGAGGTGGTGATGACCGAGCTGTGTGTGCTCCACATGTGGGGAACCCATAGATCACTGCCTGGGGAGACCAGAACTCTGGGGGGTTTTGGGTTCAGGCTGTGAACAATTTAGAACGAAATGCCATTAAAAAGAATATAATCCCAGGTTTGTTTTTTTTTAATTATTTTTATTCCCACAAAAAGCTTTAAAAAATGATGAAATGTTTTTGGAGACTTTTTTTTTCCCCCTACAAATACCTAAATACTTTTTTTTTTTTGCGTATCGCTCGGTCCACCTCGAGGCCCGGTGTTGCTAGAGCACACGTGCTGCGTGGCCATGGGACAATGAAAGTTCACAATCCCAAGGCGTTGGAAGAGGACCAGTAGAAAATCTGGCTTGCTCTTGTCCTTGGCATGGTGCTACGAGAGACTTTGGCTCCAAGCCTTTGTTGGGAGCCAGGGGAAGAAAGCACACCAGTGCAGTGGAGAGTAACCTCTGACCAGTGGGACCTCCTGGGCGCTGGTTCAGCACAACACTTACGGCCGGAGCCAATAAAGCATTTAAGTGCCTCAGAGTTAAAGTGTGGCTTCACGGGAGGTGGGCTAAAATTAATTGATGATACAGGGGAGGAAATAGCTCCTGATCGGATTCCTTCCCTCATCCCTGGGTTTCCCTGGAGCACTGGGAGCGGGCAGGGGGACTCCCCTTGCCATGTCGGGTAAGCCCGTTGCCGTAGGCTAGAGCTTGCCCAGCGCCAAGCGAGTGGTAAATATTCTCCCTGAGAACAAGGCAGAGCTTTGCTTAAAGCCAAGCTTGCCGTTTCTCCAGCGAGGTTGCCCGGAGCCCTTTGTGTTGTTGCCCCCCGTGGTGCTGCCCATGGGTGAGGCGCAGGGCAGCCAGGTGGTTCCTGGCCACGCACTGTGACCGTGCCCCGTCACGATGTGGCAAGTGGTTTTGCAGTTGCTGGCGGCCCCGGACCAGCACGTGCTCTCAGGAGGCAGCCTGGTTGGTCTGGATTTCAAAACTTTGCTGCAATGCAAACACAGGTGAAGAAGAAAGTTCGTTTTCGCTATTCTGTCCACAAAACTTTTGCGCGGTGATTTAATACAGAAGCTTCCACAACAACAACTATTTCGCACGAAATAAGAATTTGTATGCGAGTATTTCCCTTGGCGTCATGCTAGGGCCAAGGGAGGGAGAAGCAGGCAGGGTTTGGTCTGTTGTCCAGCAGCATCTCTGCACCCTCACTCCTCACTGCACCTGCAGGTGGTGGCCCCGGGCTGTGGTCCAGGAGATGCTGCGGTCGGTCCCTCCTGCAGGAGCAGGGCACGGTGCCGGGGGTCCCGGAGAGCAGCGGACTCTCCCTGGGCTGCTCACCGAGCCCTGAGGGGCTT